CTGGGCTACAAAATGAGGTATTTTTGAACTAATTATCTCCTAAGCTTAATTAACCAGCAATTGTACATTACAACTCCATGTATTTGAATGGAGTGCCTCTATTTACCCCAAGCGTATAAGTGAAGTGCCTCTAATTACCTCGTAGGGGGTAATTGGAGGCACTTTGATGGAGCTCTTCGCATTTTGGATATGACTCAAAATTGGCCGAAGCTTTTGAAAAGATTTTTACATGAGCGTGTAGAAAAATGTTTGGTCTACCATCATGTTCAGTAGCAACCTTTTCCGATCAAAACCGGCCAAGAAATAGCAAAAAAAGGACAAAACTTTCGAAGAGTGTCTCTAATTACCCCGAAGTAGTCTATGGTGTAACGACATATGTTGTAAGGCCAGAAAACGTCTTAAAATGTCAACCAGACTTTTATCTTCAACTTCAGATGTCCCGTCACACTCTACGAAGTTCGTTTACGAATTGTAGACAAAGCCAAATCATAAAAAACCGTTACGGATTTCTGTTAGGGTAGCCGAGTGAGCGGGCCACGTCGTGTAGTAAAACAAAAATAAATGCTATTTCCTCCCAGGCATTTCAAAAGTAACAAGCATGTATATATTTCTTTTAAATGTTTTCTTATGAAAAAATAAAAGAAACAATAATTGGTTGTCCGTAAATCATGATCGATGTTAATCTATTGGTACAAATGTAAGATTTTGACTGTTTCCATTATGACATCGAAATAATTGTATCATATTATGATCAACAATATTAGCGCCAGGAACATCCAAACATTTGCCAAAAACATGAATACGGTTTTGACTATCAATTGTAAAACGTTGATTTGCTTGATTACGACAATTAAATAATTGGATACGAACATGATCAGCAGAATAACTGTCTGGAACATCAAGACATTTACCAAGAACAGATATTTGGCCATTATTGTGTAATGTAAATCGTTGATTCACTTTACCATGACATCGAAATAATTGAATACCAACATGATCATTACCTGTCCCATCTGGTACATCAAGACATTTGACTGAGTTACCGGATGCATCAGACACTTTAATTAAGCCTAAAGAGAGAAAATTAACGAATATCTCATTTTAACTGAACTAATTGATGAAAACAGTACATGATGCAATGTGAAAAGTCGAACATTATCTTTCCATTCTAGGTCCCGCACATTCATCACATGTTGTTTCTACTACTATCGACGATTTAAAATGCGAATTGCTTTCTTATACACCTTCTTCTCAGATGTAGCTGCCAGTGATTTCCTGTTTGCAGGTTTAAAATATTATTTCAATGGAAAGCACCAGAACGATTGCAGTGGTGTTCTACATGTCAAGTAACTCTAAATTTTGAAAAATGTATGGCCACGTTATTTCATAAACGTGCAATAACATTAAAGTCATACCATTCACCGTTATTAATTCAGAACAAACTCGTTCGCGAACGTACTCTTCGTGAATACGTAGGAGGCATAGCATATAATCCACGACAAACCAAGCTCAATGACTATTTCCGATTTTCTTCTAAGTAGCCTCATCTTGTAGAGCATGGTCGAAAACCTATAAATTCAAATTTGTAGGCTTCTCGAACTTTTCATTCTGTAGATATGAAATCTTTTCGACTGGAGTAAAGTTCGAGGAGTTATTCGTGAACGAGAAGAGATGAAACCGCGATTTTTCCAGGGTAGGTTGTACCTGATATCTATCATATAATGACATACAAATATTACGTATACCTCTTACCCCATACATTATAGCAAGACCGAAACGGAGCTTCATGGACCACTTTCGTGAGCGATCAATCTCGTTATTATAAACTTATGTTGAAGTCGAACTACTTGTAGTAGATAATACTCTCAGTGTACTATATGGAATCACCGTTAAAAGTTTGGGATAACCAAATTTGTTACAGAAAGTTTTGTCACAAGATCGGTCAGCGGGACTTTTACCATTCTGCTCGTCTTCAACGGTTCTCGAATTCAGTTTGCGTTTTAAAATTTCTGAAATTCGCTTTCCAGACCCAATTTTTGATGGAAAGTAAGAAAAATTATTTTGGAATTTTAGAAATAGAATGAATGGTTGAATTTTGAGTTTTATTCAAAATTTTTTGAAAAGTCGATAGCTAAAACCTTTTTAAATGAAAAATATGTTCCAAAATTCGAGGATTAAGTTTTTCCTATTCAACGCGATTTGCTCTATCCAACCATAGCAAAACGCGAAAAAAATAAAATTCTGTTACAAGCAAAGAAGTGAAGGAAAGAATGTGTATATGTTTAAAAATTAGTATTTTAAATCTCATTCCTCTCTAGAGTTCACAGGTGTGAACATTTCATTACTGGACAAAGCAACTTGACAGAAAATTTCTTTTGTTGTGTAATTATAGAAAGGATGCTTATAGCAATAGTAATCAACCACTGCATTTAAAAACCTTTGTATGGTTAAATCTATAGAAAAAGTTGTTAAAAAACTTCAATAGTTTGCAACTCTTTAGTTTTAAAAGTTAATTATCGCGGTCAAGATCCATAGAAAAAAAACTTTCTTTTTACCAATCGAAAGCTGAAGGAGTCTGTCAGGTTGTAACAAACTCCGGTTTTGATACAATTGTACGTTATTTCTGTATATCGATTTTATCAATGTCCACGCCCGTGTGCTTTGTCATTGTGACAAAAACAAGGTCATATTCAGATTCAGAATCAAGAACTGGGTTGAATGACATGGATGCTAGGAGTTTTGAATGACCTCGAAGTTTTTGTTTTTTTCAAAAATCCAAAACCAAAATTTTCGCTCAAACTCCAAATATTCCCCAAAATACCGAGACCCATGTCATTCGATTCAGCTTTTGATCCTGATTCCAAATATGACCTTGTTTTTCTCAAAAAGTTGAATTCTGACAGAACCAGTTCGGATAACACAAACAATGTATTATGTAATCTCTGTGTATCAGTCTGTGGCTGATTTTATTACTGCCAGTAAACGTTTCTAATAGACTACGTCCTCTGCATTTAACTAGATTTAACTGATCCACTCCCTCATTTCTCAAACGTCAATATCAGGTGCTTTTCTCCTATTGATACAGTTTTCTGCATCTATTTTTATTGCTCTCAATTTCTCTTCTTTCGTTAAGTTCAACGTTTTCTCTTTAGTTTTTCTTTTTTTATGGTGTTCTTTTTTGTTCTGTGTAAAAATTCTTCTCAGAAGATACAATGTAGTATTTAGGACGACGATTTCGCTCGACTGGTCTTATTTTCTTGTTTATGTTGATTTCTTTAAATAAAAAGCTTAAATCAACAATCGAAGTTGATTCTATTCAGCAATCCATCAGTGCCTTAATCATGTGTCTAAAGATGAGTTTACAACTGATGTACAAAAGTTTTGAGAACGTTGGCGAATGTTTATTGTAACAAAGGAATGATACTTCAAAAAAGAAAACATCAGTTTCGAATTGTACTTCATTTTGATTTTTTTAAATAAAATCAGTCCAGGAACCTTTTGAACTCCCTGCCTACCTACTTATGTAAATGTATTCTTCATTTCTGGCTGACTAAAAAAAGAGACGTGCATCTAGATAAATAACGTGTAACGCCTACTTATTGAATTTGTACGAAACTTGCTATTGTTTGCTATTGAAACTTTTGTTGAATTACATAAAAAGAGGATTCATATGGAAATCAGTTCGTACGAAACCTGATTATCGTATTTGTACAAAATTCATCTATTATCCGACTTTTTATTTCTAAAAAGAACGGTTTAATTTGAAAGTTCGTCTTTCGAAGACTAAAAAAGGTTTTAAGGATTCGTTTCGAATTCAAATATCTATTTTATGTTTCCTTAAAATTGCAGTAGCTCATTCACAGACGTTGTAATGTAGTAATGACTGGGGAATTCTCTATTATAACCTGTATGGTAGAAAAGTTTATTCTTGCTGACGAATATATATATGTTACAGGGAATGTAGGAAATCAGGGAATGTGCACATTCCCTGGGGAATCTATACATTCCCTGACATTTGTAGGGAATGTGTACATTCCCTAGGGAATATTCACATTCCTGGGGAATCGATACATTCCCTGATAGCGTTCAGGGAATTTGAGTATATGACATCGAAATTTCTCTTGGAATATAATAAATTCATGAATTATGTGATGTTTGAAGTTAGAGTAGAGAAAAATCGTAAAATTTAGTAATCTACTATCCATTTCAAAATAGAATGGAAAAAAGTATTTTTTGAATAACTTTTTAACAGAAAGAGTTAGAACCATGCGGTTTCCAGTATTTGATAGAGGAGCTACTGGAAAAGAAATCTATAGAGAAGGACCTATCTATTGGCTAAACTTCAAGTTTGGGAACCTTCAAAACACATGGAACATAGGTTATCGATCACGCTGAATCTTATGGAAATGTTTATTTTTCGAAAAAATCTAGGGAAAACCTTTACTCAACCAAGAATAATCCAGTTTTCAGTATTTTCACCGAAAATTAAAGAATTCATAATTCAGTCAAAATTGATCCAAACTGCTTCAAAATATCAACATATACTCCATTTTATGTGCTTAACCGTATTTTGTAGTAAAAATTAGTGCGAAACATTCGCTTAATCCTAAAGCTTGTACAAAAAATTTTCAAAAATATAATTTTTACTACAATATACGGTTTTTTAGTTGATATATGGATTAATATACGGATTTTTAGTCGAAACGTCAAACTACTTTTTCCTTTTTCAGCGTTAAAAGCTGAATTAAAAAATGATATTAAATTCATTTCGAAGGTATACCTTCGAAATGAATTTAATATCATTTTTTAATTCAGCTTTTAACGCTGAATAAGAAAAAAATAGTTTGAACATTTCGACTAAAAATCCAAGTCGAAAAATCTAACTTTTTCGAACATCGTCGTGTTTTCGATTTTTCGACACGAAAATAAAATTTCGAAAAATTAATAACTACATATTCTTGATCTGCTTGAAAAGCTCTATCGAATGGTATATAATAAGTTCAAAAATAGATTCCACTGCAAGTTTGCATTACGTGCATCTTACTTTAATCACGATTATTTTAAGAATCATGATTAAAGATAATCATGTTTGGAAGATTATTATCTTTAATCACGAGAAAATGTAGTTAATAGTGATTTAAAAAGGTTGCAGTTACACTAGAAAATTCTTAATCCTGATTATCTTTTAATCACGATTAAAGATAATCGTGATTATTTGCGTAGTGTAACCGTAGTGTTAAAGATCACTCAAAAAGTATGTCTCAAAATGTATCATATGCATGCCCTTCCTTTTCGTCGCATCTAAGCACATTCATATCATTCTCTTCTTTGAATGCGTCGTAAATAGGTGTACCGATCTATCTTTATTCGACAGATCTCTTTAGTCAAAAACAAGAATATATTTTGTTAACCTAAAATAAAAATAACTTTTACACCTTTAATTCGATAGAGAAATGTGCATCATCGTAGTCTAAAACTGCCATAAGGGATATATGGATTTACTCGAATCTGAAATATATTCATCATTTCTTCTGATAACAGGAGTTCGGCAGATACATTTCAAGAATATATTTCAGATTCGAGTAGCCTTATATAAATTCATATATCTTTTAATAAACGTTTCTTTCCGTCAGCTATTACGGTTCGATCATAGTTACATGAACGTGTAAGGGAATGAAAAATTCTCCGTTCTGTTTACTTTCCCGTTATCGTTCTCTTTTCTTTAACGCGATGAAGAAACGTCTTCACATATGGCAAACAGAAAGAAGAACACGTTGTATTAGAATAGTCGTAACACGTTACTACTCCGATGGCTGTCATATATATATATAAAATATCTTACTTTTTTAATTTCGTTTGAAGCGAAGATAATTTCTTCACGCCTTTTTGCAGTTTTGAACTACTATTTGGACATCATCTTTCATCAATGTATTTGTTATAAAATAGTAAATAGTCCTATGATTAAGATTATATCTTAAGTACGCTGTAGTTTCAGTTAGTGTGGGAACGGCGGGATGTAAATCTTTTCTATTTTAGTCGTATAAATAAAGAATAGGCCTTTAGCGATCAAACAGAGATTGACATTTGTTTCACATTCTGTTTTTCTGTAGAAAAGAAAACGGAAAAGCAGACATTTTCTCCACCATTTTACTTCTCAAAAAATTTGCCTTTTGGCTCAGCAAACTCTAGATCTAACAAATTACCTCCGTGTATTAAATATTCTGTGCAAAGATCTCAAAATAAAAATGTATTTTGCAACGATGTTTTCGTCACATGTGTTGCATTAAGAAAGAGATACGGTAGGAAGTTAGAATACTCTAAGGTAGAAAGTTTCCTCAGAAATAATCATTAAAATGTTTGAAGTTCAAAAGAGTAAAAATAGTTTTATCTAAGAACCCGGGTAAAACAGTGCTTCAGCTAACTAAGAAATACTCTTCAAAGAGAGAGCTGTTTTTTACCTAAAAAATTTCCTTTCTGAGGTTCTCAAC